GCCGGAGTTAAACCACAACAATTGCTTTCTCATCGCTAATCACTTAATGGCTGCGTTCAATTAGCCCAGGTGGTGGTTGGATCTCAATGCAGTTCTGCCCAAAACGCTCACGTGCGCCATTCCCATCACCTACTGCTACTAAACCGCTTTTAAAGAAGTGTCCAGAATGAGCAATGATTTTTGCATTGCTGTTTCGGCTCCCAGGAGCATTCCCTGGGCTGCACAGAGACAGAGGGAGTCAGGGAGAGCTGGGGGAACCTGTTCCACCTTCACCATCCTGACTTACCAGTCGGTTGCATCCAGCGGCTGTTTGGATCCCCCCAAGCCGCAGTAGCAGCCGTAGCCGTTGTAGGAGAGCGGTGATTTCCCAGTCTTGTGCTTAATCATGGAACCGAACTGAACCACATTGCAGTCAGCGGGAGCCAGCCCTGCGACTGGAGATGGGGTGTTAGGAGCGTCAGAAAAGCAGCCTTTTGTCCCTCCCTCCCATAGCAAAAATGCACGTTTTCACCCTCCCCAGGTTTATGGAGAGAAACTATGAGCACTGAGCTTTCCCCATCGCCTTGTCGGGCGGGGTGAGAGCTGGGGTGTGCGGTACTCACGGCAGAGGAGCAGCAAGAAGAGCTTCATGTCTGGCAGTGGCAGCTCTGGTGTTTGAGTGAGCCCGAGGGGCCGCCTCACACCTTTTATAGCCACCGTGTCCCCACTCGGCGGGGCCTCTCCTTTGGAGAACCCGAAGTGGGCAAATATTGACAATCCTCGCCATACCGGTCCGGCTGTGTGCACGAGCCTCTCGGCATTGTGGGGTGCCCTGTGCTGGGGGAGCCCTTTGCAGGGGAGGTGATGGTGGGCTGGGATGAGTGGGGCAGACCGGGGTTGGGTTGGTGCATGGCTCCGGGTATCTCAGCATCCCAATACCTCCTGGAAAAGACTGGAAAAACCTGAGGGAGAACGGGAACCGCCGTGTTCCTGGATGACTGTTAGTTTTTTGATGTCTTGGTTAGAAAATACCATTCTGTATCTGACTGTTTCTATCATGACTTACCCAGGCAGGGAAAATACAGCCAGTGCAAAGCATCCACCGCTTCTGACTTAACAAATCGGGCGAGATACAGCACCACGAGCTGAGGAAGATCCTCCTGAACAGGCTGCAGCTAAAGGTAGGACTGAGCAAAGACCCCGTACACTGGTTTTCTCATCAGCGGGAGCTTGTCAGTGCCCAGATGCTCCTTGAATATGGGGATGCTCCATCGCTTTCCCCATGTGCCCAGGGCGCTGCTCACAGTCTCCCTCTCAAAACAGAGCAAGCGATGCTCATGCACAAGGTGTCTAGTGCACCGTTCCGTGGAAGCAGAATAAGGCAAGCAGCAGGGGAAGGGGAGAAAAAAATGCAAGTGGTGTATAATGAAAGGGTCAAGAAAGAGGATGGTTGCATTGTTTGCTTGGAGAGAAAGCCTAATTAAATAGGTGATGCTAAAGAATCATATCAACAGTTTTCATCTGGCAGCAGTGGCAGGTGCCTTGTGCTCTGCGCTGCTTTTAGAGAACCCCACCGCAGGCCAGGGGGAGGAAATCCCCCTGTCGCCAAGAGGGAAACTGAGGCAGGGAACAAGGATGCGACCTGCGTGGAAATCATAGAGATGGTGAGAAAGAGGAACTTGGGTCAGGGCCTCAGCAAAATCTCTTCCCCACTCCCAGCACGAGCTATTTGCCTCCTCAGCTCTCCGTGTAAATCTCAGCAGAACCCTGGGATGGCAATGGGTTAATTAGCTGAACTGGGGCTTGCCATAATTCCATAATTTCTGGGTCCATAGCCTGTTTTTATCCCTGGGGAATATGGTATACTTTTGTGTCTCAAACTGGCTGAGCTTCCAGGTGAGGGACTCGTCTCCCCCCACTTCTCTACCTGCAGCAGGTTTGCAGTATATCTTTTCCAGGTGTGAAATAATGCCCTCTCCGGGGCCAAACACCTCCTGGGAGGACGTGGGGTTTGTTTCTCTTCCACCCTACGTAAAACACAACTTTCTTCAGCCTGATTTATTGCAGTGTACCAAGGGGGTGCGGTACCTGGACCAACACGTTGGCACTCGGAACTGCCTATGAAGGGATTTATACAGCCGGGTGTTTGAGCAGAAAAATACATAGAAAGTTAAAATTCACCCAGGATTTAAACAGAGAGTGTGTTTAAGCTCACAGCCTGCAAGCTGTCTGACTGATCACCCCTCTCTCATCCCATCACGGATCTGATCCTTGATTTATGCGTTGCAAACAGCAGCTGTTGGGCGAAGGGCTGCCCGCTCCTTCGTCGCCTCCCTGGGACTCAGTGCTCCTGGAGGAGGAGGATAGTTGCGCCTGATGCCTGGCTTAGAGCCAAAGGGAAACAGTTTGGATATTTCCTGGTGCCGTTGACTTCAACTCTGGGACAAGCCAGGGTGGGAATTACAGCTGCTGATGCCCAGGGCATCAACCTCTGGGGAAACAGCATTTTGTTGCTGTTCCTGGGACTACATTTCCTTGTTCCTTTGGGATTTGCAGGGCTGAGACCTCCCAGGGGGTCACCCCTGCTGAATCAGGCTGCAGGGCAGGGACCCTGTGCTGTGGGGATGCTTGATGGGAGTGAGAGGAAGCAGTCACAGTCTGAACTGCCTTTTCCTAGGGGATGTGCTCGGGGTTATTGCAAAATTGGGCCAAAACATTCTTTTCTGGTGAGAAACATGTTTTGCTCCGCTCTGTGCATGAGGCAAGAGCCAAGGTCGTGGCCACCCCATCGCAGCGAAGCTTGCCAGCGCCCGGCCCTCCCGCAGCGGCCTGCCTGCCCACAGCCCTTTGCACCACCTTTGATTTCTCTGTCTCGGGATGATCGCAGATTTTGGGAGCCTGAAGGCTCAGGGTTAAGGCGGAGAGCAGTTCAGGGGTGCATCCCTTCTCAGGTGGCGTGGACTGACTTCTCCCTCTCCTGCAAGAAAGGGGATGATGCTGGTGGGCAAGGCAGGCAGCCGGGCAGCAGCGTTATAAATCGCCTCCCTGCCCTGCAGCTTGCTCCGCGCTTGGCTTATTTGTGCATTGACCTTTGAGTCCAGCTGCTGCTGGGCTAACCGTAAAAATTCACATGGGTAGAAGGGGCTTTTTAATTCCAGCCACGTGTATCTCCCCGTGCTGTGTGAAACCGGGCCTGAACTGGGCAGAGGTGAGCTCCTAAGTCAGTTGGAAATGTTGCTGACAAACACAAGTAGTCCTGCATGGGGTGCTAACCCACGGGCTGGCAGGCTTCGGAGGTGGTGTTCGAACTGGGCTCTCAACTCTGCTGCTCGCCTCTGGAATTTATTTTTTTCTGGCTGTTCCAATGGGAAACCTAGCTAAGAGGTTAGCTTCTCCTTGCCGGCTGCAAGGGGTGGTCGCTGGGATCAGCTGAGTCACGTCACACTGAGACCGATGTTTAGTGCTCTCGGGTTTTATTTTGGAGCAACAGAAGAGAATCTGCAGTGAAGCAAAGAGCAGAGGGAGCTGACAGGCTGTGCTGGGAGCTCGAGCCAAGGGGAAATGAGTGTCAGCGAAGAGGCTTGCGCTGGTTTCCATCTCGCCCATTGCAGCGACGAGGTGCAGGTGTCCACCCCACCCTTGTTTTTCTGTGCTGAAACATTGCATCTGCGCTGCTCTCCCTCCTCAGATCCAGTGTATCATGACGCAGCTCCACGAGAGGGTGGTTGTCCTCGTGTCGAAGCCAAAAAACCCCAAGGACCAAGCCGGGCTGGGAAATGCTTCCAGCACTGTGCCATCCCTTTGCTTATCGGCCTGGAGGTGGTTTTGCCAAGAGCCCTTGTGCTTCAACACCTCCTGCCTCGTCCCCGACATTTGCTGCGAGGCCGGAGCAGCCTCTGGCTGCGTATGCGGCAAAGCTGGGCTGCCCGCTCGCATCGGCAGGCACCTCGCTGGCACCAGGTCCCGGATCCTGCGGGGACCGGAGAGACGGCACATCTGAGACCTTCCTTTTCGGAAGATCTTCCTCCAAAAGAAAGGAAGAGGAGGGAGACGGTCTGGAAAGAGGCATTCCGAACCGCGACTGCAGGGACTTACTGCAGGTGGGGATCGCTGCCCGGGGCACGGAGAGCGGCTGGATGGGTCCCAGGCGGCAGCGCCGCGCAGCCAGCCTGGCGTAGCAGCAGGCACGCAGCAGGCAGCACCTGCAGTGAGGGGGAGAGCCTGGCCTCATCCAAAATACAGCACCCGATGCTTCTAACCTACCTGAAACGGGCTCCACAAGCCGCCTGGGAAGAGCCAGCCGCATTCGCATCCTCCTCCTGCTCTGCAGCACCCAGAAGCTGCTCTTTCCAGCCCGTTCCCATGCCAAGCCTCTCTGCTTTCCCATGCAAACCCTGTCCGGCTCCAAGAGCCCTGGTGCCTCCTGGCTTTGTGACCCTCCCTCTCCTCTGGTGCTGCCCCCTTGACTTCAGGCAGTTGTTGCTGGCAGGACCCTACTGACTTCAGGCCTAGAATTAGGGCTGCATGCTGCCTCACTTCCCCCTTCCCTAAAACCTGTTCCCTTCCCAGGCCCAGCACCTGCTCTGCCTTTTGCAAAGCTTCAGAGAGTGCTCACAAGCCCTGGGGTTACCCCAGGGCCAGCGTTAACCCTCATGGTCCGCGTTGCCTATACCGGTCCACTGAAGCCTTCGATGTGCTACTGCCACCCCATCTCGAGTAGCAACTGTGGGCAGTCAGATTTCCTACGGTGCTTCCCTCCAGTCCTGGCGCGAATGTCCGTGGGTGCTTCCCATGGGCTGTAAACACACCTGGAATGACCAGAAAATGGGATTTTTTTGCAAGTTATCTGCAGAAACGAGGCCCAGGGAACCTGGGGGGAGAGGAAGGCTTTGCAAGGAGTCTCCCTGTGGAGTGCACGGGGGTTTGGGGATGCTACCCACATCTGTGTGGGGCTGTAGCTGGGCTCCCACCCGAGGGTCAGGGAACTTACTCCAGGCAAACAGCACTGCCAGCATCAGCAGGACCTTCATCTTCCTCTCACCCGAGCCTGGGAGGAGAAGCAGAGGCAAGACTCAGCCGGGCAGCGTGGACAGTGGACAGGCACTGCCCTGCAAACCTTGTCCTTCTGAAATCAGCTTAAATCACCCCAAAATTTGGAGGGAGGAAGGCAGCTGTGCCCCCTTGCGCCTGTGCTACTGTTTCTTGGCCAACAGCAGACGCTTTCAGAAGCTGTCCCACCACCCCCGCGTCTCCCACCTCCCGTCCTGATGCTTTTGGTGCCCACAGCATCGCTTTGCAGTGGCTCTGCAGCTCTTTCCCCTGGGGCTGTGCCTTCCCAGCGGAATTTTTCCCTGGAAGCAATGACACTTTATCTACCAGCATGGAAAACAGCAGAAAGCAACACCTCTACTTCTTCCAGACTTCCCACCGCCCCCCTCCTCGTATTTTTGTGTCCGCAGCAGCAATGCAACCACCCCATGACAGCAGTGGGGCGAGGGTGGGAGTCGCTCACCGGGGGATCGCTCCCGCTCCGATTCTTCGCTGCCAGCCAGTCCGTCCTCCGTGGCTGAACTGGAAGCACTGAAATGACTCGTCTGTCCCAAAAATGCTTTATGCTACGCCCCTTCCCTTGCCGGCCAACCCCCCCTCTCCCTGTGGGCTGCAGCCCGGAGTGACGCAGGGGCCGAGACAGAGTTTTGGAAAGTTTTGGGAGGATGATGCTGAGTATTTATGGGGTTTTCTTTCTCCGCCGCTCACAGACAACCAAGGTGGCTTACACACACTGTTTATTTTCAAGCTGATTGAATTTACAGCAGCACTAATGTGGTCTGTGCAGGCAGGGACAGAGGCAATGGAATGCAGCACCCCATGTGTGCTCCCACCCCATCACCAGCACCAGTACTTGGGGTAGAAGCGGTAGAGTTTGTTGTAGCTCCCGATGCTTCGCTTCAGGCAAAGGGCCAGGCTGCGGTCACACTGGCAGGAGAGCCGAGCGCACCAGGAACCCTCTCCTGCAAGGCAGAGAGGGGCTGGGGTGAGCCACGGTTTGTGTTGGGAGGGTGACACCACCATTGCCAGCGTTCTACTTACGGCAGAAGGGGCTGCCGCCGTGCCTGCCGTACCGGTAGCCCTGCACCTTGGCATTGCAGCGGTAGCTCAGGAGGTTGTTGTAGCAGGTATCGTGCAGCTGGCAGCATCTGTACAGGAGCTCAAGGCTTTAGGGGTTGAAAGTTTTTCCCCCCTTACCCCCAGATTTGAAACTGTGCAAGGAAACGCTCAGGCAGGGAGATCTTGAAGTGGGTGCTTACCTGTCTGTGGCATCCTTGGGCTGCCCTTTGCCTCCCAGGCCGCAGTAGCAGCCGTAGGAGGAGTAATGCAGCAAGGCATTCTTCCCTGTCACCTCCTTGATCATCTTCTGCAGCTCCCAGAGGCTCCCACGAGCTGGGGAAAAGCCTGTGGGGGAAAATCAGCGGGGCTCATGCTGCCGCCCGGCTCCCAGCAGCATCCCCAGCCCCCAAACTGGTATCAGGCTGATGATGTCTTACGAACGAGTAGATGCAACGGAGAGGAAATTTGTTCCCAGCTTGGTGCAGGAGAGTTGTTGCGTGTTTGGGAGAGGTGATGATGGGGAAAGGTTAAGAAATCACCAGCCTGGTCCTAATTTCCATGGGTACAACCTCACGGAGAGCTGTTGGACGGGTGCTAGTGAGGACACTTACCCCAAGCAAACAGCACAGCGAAGGCGAGGAGGGAGTTCATCTTTCTGACAGCCCTGGGAGAGGAAACCAAACCATTTTCCCGTTATATCAACCACTTCTATTTTTACTTACCCCCTGATCCAGGGGCAGAGATGCTCCCCACCTCCGGGGTCAGGGCAGATGAGGCGATGCTGCGTTGGGGATGGGAAGCGGATGGTGGAGGGGTGGGCAAAAGCAAAAAGAAGGGAAAGAAGGAAAAGTCAGAGGAATGATCAGCCCTTGAGGGCTGCACCCCACTGCTCTGCCGCCGGGCTGGCATCTCAGGTACCCTCTCCTTTGCTCCCGCTTCCCGGCATGGACCTAGCTTCCCACTTGTGCTGCAGCTTTGGGTTAAAGTAGGAAAGGGAGGAAAAGCATTCTTCCATCTCCGCTTACCTTGGGAAAGCCACTGCTTGCTCGCAGGGCCCCGCAGCTGTCAGGGCTTGCTTTATATAGGGTTTGCTCCCCGCTGTCAGATACTTGTGTTACCCAAATCTTGCTGACTGGGCTTTTCTGCAAAGGAGAAGGCGACATCCTTCCCCTTTACAGGAATGCAAGAAATCCCCACAGCCCCCAGCTCTGTACCCCGCACGTGGGAGCTGGAGCTGGGTGGGACGAGCCAGCAATGCAGTGTCATTTCCAGCCTGAGGAGGAAGCCAACGCTCTCTGCCCTCAGCTGGAGATGCCCAAGGGCCTTTTGCTCTGCCCTCCCCAGCACTATGGTGTCATACTGGGGGGGATTAAGAGCCCCAAGTCAGCTTTTGCATCTCAGCAGCCAGCAACAAAGCAGGTTCGGGGTTTTCCAGTGGTCATATAATATTGGTTCTTTGGGAAAAGTATATGGGCAACAGCAAAAGCACCTGTAAACGTGCTGTTCCCAGAAAAACGGGGTTACGCAATACAGGGTGATTAAGCACTCCCCGCCGTGGGAGGTGAATGAAGCAAAATGGATGTTTTGGGGTGAATGAATGCAACTTCCCTTTATTTCTCTCTACGATTTTTCCACTTTCTCACTGCAGAACTCATCCCTGACGGAGCAAGCATTTAGTCACTACCTTAACCGCCCTCCTAAAATAGCATCAACCTTGGGATTGACGAGGCTTTGAAATCTTCCCTCCTCTGCAGGTAACTATCCTTTAGCTTTAATTTTGGGCACCGTTTTTACGTGAGGAAGTGTGACAGGAGGGTCTCAAGATTGGCTCCCAATTCCATTATTCCATGTAAAAACACCTTTCGGCTTTATCTCACCAGCCCCTTAGTGCGCCACTGTGTTTTAGCTATAGAAGTGAGTTCAGCTCGCAGGAAGGGATGTTGGGGGAAGCCAAAAAACCCAACTGCCCCCAGGACTCATCACTGGGGAATTATTTTATTGACAAACCCCAGGGAGTTTTACTTGGTGGCATTTATTTGTCTCTAAAATGTTCCTCTGAGGCTGGGGGATCCAGCAGCAGTAATATTGCTCTGCAGCGGGACAGATCAGCAAATTACAGGGCCTTCAGCTTTTTCAGGCTGCTGTGGGTACTGGGGAAATATTGGGGTGTCAGGCAGATGGTGTGGCTAAGGCAGGAGATGTGAAAGTGCTCCCCAGACTCAGCAGCCCACTCACCTGTCGTGGTGCCTCCATCTCTGAGAAAAACACCACGGAGAATCATTTTGAATACTTTTTATTTCATTATCTTTGCTGGGAAATGAAATCAAGAGAGAAAAGAGGAAGGCCACAAAAATGGAAGCTGACGTGTCTTCCTTGGGACTGGGGGATCTGCACCCGTAATGTGTGCGTGCGCCCTCCCTCACCCCGTGCATCACCTTGTGGGGAGCCTTGCTGGCTCCATCTGAGCCCCACCTCAGGCTTTTCTTGCCATAGCAATGGGAAAAGCCAGTCAAAATCTGCAAATTTGGGCGCAGGTTTCTCCTCCTCAGCACTGGAGTTTATCCCCTCGGCATTTCAGCTTGAAATAGAAGCGGTAGGCTTGATTGTAGGAAGGCAAAGCGCTGGCGAAGCAGGATGCCACCGCCTTGTCGCATAGGCAGGTCTCTCTCTTGCACCAGCTCTGCTCGTCACCTGCGGGGAAAAACCACGGCGCTCTGCGGTGGCGTTTCCAGCTGGTGCCGGCCATGGGCTCCCCTTGGAGCACCCCCCATGCCTGGAGCTGCCCAGGGGAAGCTCATGAAGAAGCATGCCGCAGCGCTCATCCTTTCCAACCTGCCTGCATCCCTTGGGTTTATCATACGCCGCATCCTCCCATACGCACCCGGCCAGGCATCAGGCTTGTTTCATCCCCGGGGAGGGGGATGCCCTTCTGTGCACCCTGCTGGGGTGTGGTGGGGAGCGGTGGGACCCCTGTGGGATCCCCCGGCTCAGCGGTACTCACCGCAGACGATATCCCCATCGGAGATGTCGAAGCGGTAAGGGGTTATCAGTGGTCTGCACTTGGCCTCTCTCAGCTTCCTGTAGCAGCAGTCGTGGGCATGGCAGCACCTGAGCGAGACACTGTCACCAACTTCTGCCCCCAGCTAAAGGAAGGTCCAGCCTCAAATTTAAGGTGACCAGGAAGGAGGCTGACAAGGCAGCAAACGAGTGGTGCAGAACCCCCTCTGAGAGCACACCAGCGCTGGCAGATTGCCAGCCAGGAGCTTGTTAGGGACCCGCGGCACACCCTGCGCCAGGGCGGCGAGTGGTGATGCTTTCCCAGGTACTCACCGGTCGGTGGAGTCCACCGGGGTCCCACTGCCCCCGATGCCGCAGAAACACCCGTACCAGCTGTAGGAAAGCAGGGCACTTTTCCCTGTGGCCGACTTGATCATCCGCTCCAGCTCCAAGACGCTGCCGTGAGCTGGCAGCAGCCCTGCGGAGGGGCAGAGGGATGGGCTCACACCGGTACGGAGCGAGGAAGCAGGCAGCATTCCGAGGAATTGAGCCTGGAGTTGCTGGAATGACATGCTTTCTGGCATGGGGACCATGAGAAGCCCCCCCGAAAACCTCCTTGGGATTACATCTGGTTTCTGCCGCTATGTGATTTGGGCTGGCAGAAGATACTCTTGGTCTGTGTACGGGATATGCAGGTTGTACCCTGCAACCGGCATCGTCAGCATCAGCCCTGGGCTTGGAACAGGCAAGAAAGCAGGTGACCACAGGCTCCAGGGCCTCTTAAAATAAACAGGGATCTGTGCATCCCAAAGATTCACTGTCACAAAGACCTCTAGGACTACTCCAATGCTACAAGAAGCGTTAAACTGCAAAATTGAAACAAAAACCTGAATTGTCCACAAAGACTCTGGGTTTCTATGTCTCTTTTTGCCATGCAGAGGAGATCCCAGCCCAGCCCGGTGAAAGCGGGGCACTTACCGCAAGCCAAGAACATGGCAAAGAGGAGATTCCTCATCCTCAGGCTGGTCCTGGAGGAGGAAACCACAACAGCAGGCGATGAGCAGCACCCGGGGGTGGGAGATGCTGTCCCCATGCCCGTGCTGAGGTGACACTCGTGTCACCGTGGATGTACAGTGTCGTGAGGATAACGCCTTGCCCGGTGTGCCCAGCTGACTCCCAGCGGGGCCTTTTAATTCCGATTTTGGGATGCAGCACTTGGTAGGGGTGTGTACAGGGTCACAACGGATGTCCTGGCGGGGCTGATGGGGCAGCGCACAGTCTGCAGCCTCCCCCCACCACCCCCGAAGCTGGCTGATGAATAAGAGGGCAATAAAATCCCACTGCTCCTTACCCCGCCTAGACCTCGCAGCTCCAAGACTAACGGCTTAGCGGGTTTTGCCTTATATAGATGGGGAGGTCCACCCCCTCCTCTATCTGCGCTGATGGTGCTATTCATCACGGAGCAGCCCCTCCGTAAAGGAGGTTTCTGTCCTTCCCCTGGCGTGTTTCCCTGCGGCGGCATGCTGCCGGCGTGGCTTCCTCCGTCACCTCGCTCCTGCCCGTCGGCTGGGCATGAAGCCGTCTCCAGCTCGGGCTGACGTGGCTTCTGGATGAAGCCAGGCGATGTCTGGGCTGTGGTTTTAAAAGCTGTGGGGTGTGGTGGCCGAAGACATGGGACAAGAGGGGTTTGTGCTCAGGAGGTACCGAGCTGGCACCACGGAGGTCATTGTGTCCTTGTTCCAGGCCTTTTTAGCCTCTTGGGCCTTGGTGTCGTCTGGAGTGGGTGCAGGGTTTTGCCCACTCGCGCCCTGCAACCTCAAGGGTCATTTCTCTTGTGCCTTTCCCTTGCAGTTGCTCCCCACTCCTCAAATCCACATCCACATCCAAATCCAGCCATGCCAAATGGCAACGGGAGGCAAAGGGAGGATGGTGACGGTCTCATTTCGTGGGTCTGTAGTTTTCCTGTCCTGCCCTCAGGGCACAGGAGACTCTGGAATTGCATGAGCAAGGGGTCCCTGAAAATAAATCATGAGCTGGAAACGCCATGGAAACCCGACCTGGAACGCTTTTTGAACACAGTTTATTTAATCACCATAATGGAGACATGACACAAAGACACAAAGGAGGCAGAAAAACAGAGGAGATAAGAAACAAAAGCTGTTATCTTCCCTCCCCTGTGGGGCCAAAGCAAACACCCGCAGAAATGCACGGTATCAGGCGTGTATCGGGGCTCCACCCTCGGTAATTAACCACACTTCTCAGGAGGGGAATTTGGGGGCGGATTGTAAGAAAAGGGCTAAAGGGTCTGTAATTCAAGCCCTGATCTCCTGCGTTTTTGCTGCAGAGTTTGGCTAAACCTGCGTGAAAGGCACCATCCGTGAGGCTAAACGGAGACCGGAGGGATCGCGCAGACTGGCGGGGCTTTGACCAAATCCCCTCATTTTAAGCCCTCTCTCTTTACGGAGGGTCTCAGAAGAGCGACCACACCAAGCTGACCCCTCTCTTCAATCCAGCCTCAAACCCGAGGGCTTAAAACCAAAATGGGAGTTGTTATCCCATTGGAAATAGGCAACTTTTCAGCCTTCCTATGGAGCAAAGGAAGAGGAATATCAACCCTCACGTCTGTTTGGCCAGGGCCTTCTCGGAATATCACT